CTGGGACCAGGTGGGAGGCCGATATGCACACATCTAATGCCTGTAGTCAGGGTCCCTGCAGGCAGCTCCACTTACTTCTCCACATGAAGTGCAGGAACACCTCCGACTGCAGGAACACCTCACCTCCACCTTCCCCTCCCCCCCAAAGCCTCTCTAATCTTACGTTAAACAAAAGTTTATGTTTCCCCCTTCTAATATCCCCTTGTGGATTTATAAAATGTATCTATACATGTGAAACGTGCAGACGGCAGGTGGCACCATGGCTAATGAGCAGCCCTTGACCACAGGTCTACATCCCAGGCAGGGGGGGGGGCTCTGCATGTAACTGATTAGGCCTGAATTTCATCAGGAAAAAAAATACCATCCAGGCCTCCAGGATAGAATTCTGCATTAATAACCAAAACAGGCAAATAAGAATGACAACAACAGCTATGTGGCGTGTGTTGGCTGAAGCCAAGTGTAAGAGAGGAGTGGATTGAGACTGTTAAAGGGCAGCAGGAGGTAATGTGTGTGTGTGTGTGTGTGTGTGTGCGCGCAGCAGGCAGGAAGGCCGTGTCAGCCTACAGGATGCTAATGAAATATTCAGAGAGTGGCAGCTGTTTCACGCTTTGTACCCGGGCCGCGTCAGTGGGGGCTCGCAGCGCCCCCCCCCTCCCGGTCATTAGGTGCTGCTGGTAAATCTGGCTTTAAAGAGTGTGGGCCACCCCCAGCGGCAGTGAATTAGGCTAAGCCGGCAGCGGGGCCGCTCCAAGCCGCTCCAGCACAGCGCTGAGAGAGGGCTGGGGGTGCGGCTCTCACGTGGGCCAGCTCGCTCACCCCCACTAATTCCACTGCCCCCTGCTGGGGGAGGGCCATGGTTCAGTGGGCTCTCAGTCTGTTTGACGCTTCTATAATAATAATAATAATAATAATAGAAGAAGAAGAAGAATTAATTCTTATGCTGCCTCTGACAAGCCCCAGTCCACCCCCCCCATGACCCGGGTCAGGATAAGCAATTAAAAACTGGATGGATGGATGGATGCATGCAATTATTATTATTGTTCATAATAATAATAATAATAAATAATAATAATTATTATTATTATGACAACAACAATAATAATAGTAATAATGAATCAGCTAGTTCTGCTTTGTGAGGCTTGTTGCTGTTGGTTACGGGGACTGGGAGCACCAGAGTGTTGCGTATCTCAGTCTTTCTCGTCACACACACGATGTGCGTATCTCAGTCTTTCTCCTCACACACACGATGTGCGTATCTCAGTCTTTCTCCTCACACACACGATGTGCGTATCTCA